TTAAAAAAGAAAACCATATCTGGGGGCATCACAATGCCAGATTTCAGGTTGTACTACAAAGCTGTGTTCATCAAGACAGTGTGGTACTGGCACAAAAACAGACATATAGATCAATGGAACAGAACAGAGAACCCAGAAGTGGACCCTGAACTTTATGGTCAACTAATATACGATAAAGGAGGAAAGACGATCCACTGGAAGAAAGACACTCTCTTCAATAAATGGTGCTGGGAAAATTGGACATCCACATGCAGAAGAATGAAACTGGACCACTCTCTTGCACCATACACAAAGATAAACTCAAAATAGATGAAAGATCTAAATGTGAGACAAGATTCCATCAAAACCCCAGAGGAGAACTCAGGCAACACCCTTTTTGAACTTGGCCACAGTAACCGGAGAAGGACAAACAGTGTATGTTCTCATTCATTTGGGGAATATGAATAATAGTGAAAGGGAATATAAGGGAAGGGAGAAGAAATGTGTGAGAAATATCAGAAAGGGAGATAGAACATAAAGACTTCTAACTCTGGGAAATGAACTAGGGGTGGTGGAGGGGGAGGAGGGCGGGGGGTGGGGGTGAATGGGTGACGGGCACTGAGGGGTACACTTGACGGGATGAGCACTGGGTGTTATTCTGTATGTTGGTAAATTGAACACCAATAAAATTAATTTATAAAATTAAAAAAAAAACTTCCCAGAACTCAATGACATGGAATTGCAGATCCAAAGTCCCACCTAGAGCACCTGGGTGGCTCAGTGGTTGAACATTTGCTTTGGCTCAGGTCGTGATCCTGGAGTTCTGGGATCGAGTCCCATGTCAGGATCCCTACAGGGAGCTGCTTCTCCCTCTGCCTATGTCTCTGCCTCTCTCTGTGTGTCTTTCATGAGTAAATAAATAAAATCTTAAAAAAAAGTCCCACATAATTCCCAGCACAATGAATGTAAAAGAAATCCATTATGATATTAGAACACCAAGGATGAAGAAATTATCTAAAAGCTTCCAGAAAGGAAAAAACAGTCCATGCACAAGTGGCCAAGAATCAGAATGAATGGCATCAGATTTCTCAGTACCAACGCTGAAAGCTGGAACACAGATGCATAGTCTTCAAAACGGTAAAAGACAATGATTTCCAAAAGTAAATTCTATTCCCTGACAAACTAGCAACCCAGAGTAATGATAGAATAGAGACATTTTCAGATATGCAATGCTTTGGGAAAATTTTATCTCCTCCAAAGGGAGTAAACCAAGAAAAAGAAAGATAGGGAATCCAAAAGTAGGGGATCCAGGCAGGCAAACAGTGCAGGAAAGCTCTGGGAGCAGCCGTGCAGCAGATTGGAGGGGGAGGGGAGGGGAGGAGCGGGGAGGGGGGCTCTAGGAGGAACATCTCCAGGAAAAATGTGAATCAGACATGGGGTCTGAGCGTTTGAACCCACAGAAACTAGGTTTCTAGGTTTAGGATTTCTTTTTAAGATTTTATTTTTATTTATTCATGAGAGACACACAGAGAGGAGAGAGAGAGAGGCAGAGACACAGGCAGAGGGAGAAGCAGACTCCTTGCAGGGAGCCTGACATGGGACTCGATTCCAGGACTCCAGGATCACACCCTGGACTGAAGGCGGAGCTAATCCACTGAGCCACCTGGGCTGCCCTAGGATTTTTTTTTAGAAAAGAATAATATTCTTTAAACATTTGGGGAATGGGGTGCCTGGGTGGCTCAATGGTTAAACATCTGCCTTCAGCTCAGGTCATGATCTCAGGGTCCTGGGAATGAGTCCCATGTTGGGCTCCATGCTCAGGGGGGAGCCTGCTTCTCCCTCCCCCCTTCTCCCCTGCTCATGCTCTCTATCTCTCTGTGTGTGTCTCTCAGCTGATTAATAAATAAAATATATATTTTTTTAACTTTCAAAAAATTAAATCATGGAAGGGGAGGTGGACGGGGGGTGAGGGTGACTGGGTGATGGGCACTGAGGGGGGCACTTGTTGGGATGAGCACTGGGTGTTATTCTATATGTTGGCAAATTGAACACCAATAAAAAACAAATTTATAAATTAAAAAAAATTAAATCATGTGCATGTAGAAAGCTGATTTGAATGGAAGGAAAAAGGAAGTAAGTGAAGGTGGGAGGCAGTGAATCAGGGAAACTTCCCCCCACCCCTCGCCCAGCCATTCCAGCCCTGTTGGGGGCAATGACCCTTTCTGACATCTGATGCAATGGGAAAATGAGCAGTGCTAAAGAGAGGAGTCCCATTCTGGGGAGGACACCTTCCTGTGATGGCACAGTTGATAGGACCAGGATTATTTTGTTTTCAGGTCCTACCTTCCCTTTGAGCCCCTGTTCTCCTTGAAAGAAGGAGGCCCCCAGCAGCAGCAACACCCAGTCCCTCCTGGGGATCCGCTTTCTGCAGCCTTGGATCCCAGGATCCAGGCTGTGCTGGGGCCCTTCCCCTTTGAGCTGAGCCAGCTGCCTAGGTTACTCACTGCCCCTGGGAAAGGCTGAGAAGGAGCAGCCAAGGCATCCACCCCACCTGGTGGAGGAAGGCAGATTGCAGTCTGAAGTGTCTGGACTTTGGCCACCACTTCCCTGTTGGGAAGCATCACTATTTGCTACTTGGTGAATGTAGGACAGTCCTCAATTTTATCTTCCTCTTACTTCAACTGCTCCATGACTAGGTACCTTTGATTCCTACCCTGGAGCTCTTCCAGTTGTTCCCTGCTGTGTCATAAGCCATCCCAGACCTAGTTGCATCAACTAGGTTTGTTGATGCCACCATCTGTTATGGTCTAGGAGTCAGTGTGCCAGGGATTTGGATGGGGTACTGTAGGGCTGGCTTGTCTCTGTCCCACAACGTCGGAAGCCTCAGTGGGGAAGGCTCACGTGGCTAGGGGCTAGAACCAGCTGGAGGCTTTTCCATGCCTATCTAGCATTTTGGTTGGGATGACAAGAATGTGCCTCTCCACATGGCTCATGCTTCCTCAGAATAGTGGGACCTATGGTGGTAGATCAGAGTGTCAAGAGCAAGTATCCCAGTGAACAAGGCCAAACTGCCTGGCCTTTTATGACCTAGTACCACAGACTTGGATGGCTGTGTCCTCCCGAAGTTCATGTATTGAGATATTAATCCCCAGTGCGGTGGTATTTAGTTGTGGAGACTTTGAGAAGTAATTAGGCTTAAAGATTTTATCTATTCAATTTGAGAGAGAGAGAGAGAATGAGTCGGGGGAGAGGCAGAAAGAGAGAGTCCCAAGCAGACTCTGCTGAGTACAGAGCCAGACACAGGGCTGGATCTCATAACATTGAGATCAAGACCTGAGCTGAAATCAGATGCTCAAGGCGGAGCCACCCAGGCACCTTTGGGAGGTGATTAGGGTTAGATGAGGTCATGAGAGTGGGGCCCTCATGATGATATTGGTGCCCTTATAAGAAGACAAAGAGACCAGAGCTTTTTCTCTCCCTGTCGTGGGAGGACACAGCCAGAAGGCAGTCAGCCATCTGCAAAGACACCAAAGTCCTTGCCTTGGACTTAGCAGCTCTGGAACTGTGATAAATAAACATTTGTCATTTAAGCCAGTCTGTGGTGTTTGGTGATAGCAGCCCCAGTTGACTGGGACACCTGGACTCAGAAGGCCCATAGCACCATTTCACCAGACTCTATTGGTCTGAGTGGTCATGAGCCTACCTGAGAAAGAAGGAGGACACACGCTGGCCTCTGGATGGGAGCAGCGTGACAGAACGTGGAGCCGTCTTGTAAGACTCCTGCAGACACTCAATACTATTAGAATCAGAAAGATTTACTTAAAGTACTTTATACATATAACTGTTCACTAAGTAGATGAATGAGGAAACCAATGTATCATGATGGTTAAGAGTCTAAGATTAAGGGGCTCCTGGATAGCTCAGTTGGTTGAGCCTCTGACTCTCAATTTCAGCTCAGGTCACAATCTCAGGGTTGTGAGATTGAGCCCCCTGCTGGGCTCCACACTCAGTGGGGACTCTGCTTAGGATTCTCTCTCTCTCTCTCTCTCCCTCTGCCCCGCCCTGCCCTGTCTGCAAGTGCGCACACACATACTCTCTCTCTCTCTCTCTCTCTCTCTCTCTCAAAAAAAAAAAAAAGAGTCTAAAATTAAAATCAAACAGAACCAGGCTCAAACCCTCGTTCAGCCACTGAGCTGTGTGTCCTGGAACAGACACCTCACCTCTCCACATCTCAGTTTCTTTGCTGGCAAAATGAGAATAATAATACTTACCTTATAGGGCTTGGGTATGGGTTTTTGTTTTTGTTTTTCCTTGAGGATTACACAGGACAGCATATGTGAAGAATTTGTGCCACAGTAGGCATTCAGAAAATGGTAGTCTCTTTTTCCAAAGTTATTTCTGAAGATAAATTTCCCTTATTTCTCTTACCTCAGACTTACTTAGGTATATTACAACAGCACATTTTTACAGATAGATGGAAAGAATAGCTGCCTTTCAGGGGACAACACCCACATTCTTTGGGGGGAATGGCTCGTCCCCCTGCTGCCAACCAATGCGTCTAAATGGAAAATGCCATCTTCTGCCTCCCAGTCACAGTGATTGCTCAAGGAGTTGATAAAAGAGTCAGACTGGAGTAATCACATCCCACCTTCCATCTTCATGATTGGTCTGGAGAAGGGCACTGACCCCAGAATATCAATCATACCCTTGGAGATGTGCCCCTTTATTGTCAACTAGCTGTTAGGGAAGCAAGCTGCCATGTGAATCCATGACTTTCTGACAGCCACCATCCCAGCCATAGGGAGAAACCAATCCAGCAGAAAGAGGTCACCATGCAGCAAGACACAAACTCAATGAGAAGCAGGGATGAGAGGTAAACCGAGAGTGCTGGTGGCAGGAAGTCCCAGGGCCCAGTGCCCACACCTGTCTGCCTGCACCTTTCTGGTGACAGAGCCCATTCCTTCTATTGGTTTTCTGTCACTTGCAACCACAAGAATTCTGAGTCATATACAACTCTGATTCATATTTTTTTATTAGAAAGATAAATTGTTCATAAACCTCCATACTTCACTGATACAAGGAAACAATGTCATGACTCTGACACACCTTACAATGGATAAGAGCGTAGAGAGCTTACAGGATGGTACTGTCATCTGTTGAAAAAAAAATCTGTGTATAAGTAGGCTCCTATAGTTCAAATCCATGTTGTGCAAGGGTCAACTTTGATATATAAATATATATATCTTGGGACGCCTGGGTGACTCAGGGGTTGAGCATCTGCCTTTGGCTCAGGGTGTGATCCTGCGTCCTGGGATCAAGTCCTACATTGGGCTCCCTGCGGGGAGTCTGCTTCTCCGTCTACCTCTGTCTCTGCCTCTCTCTCTGTCTTTCATGAATAAATAAAATCTTAAATATATGTGTGTGTGTGTGTGTGTCTCAAGTCACTATATTGTATACCTTAAACTTATACAATATTATATGTCAATTATATCTCAATAAAACTGGGGGAAAATTGCAAAGTAATTTTGATACATTAAAAAAAAAAAAGGCAAGAGCTGCCCACCACCTTGAGCTTCCTGAACACTCTTTACAGCTCCAGTAGCTGAACATAATTCAGTGAGCAAGGAAACTCTTGCCCTTTTCAGGCTTTCTCACCTCTGGGCTCTGTCCTAACAGGATGACCCTGGGCCCAACTTGCAGCTTGGCCACCCTGCACTCAGGGCTGCTGTCCAGAACAGCACTGTCCCCTCCCTCCGGTGCCCCATCCCAGGCTCAAAGAAGATTTGAGGAGATTAGACAGGCGTACCCTCAGGGCACTGCCCAGAAAAGATCCCTTGAAAGCCCTGAGCTTTGATACAGTTCATTTCTCCTCTAATAGAGGCGTTGACTTTGGGGGAAAAAAAAGTTTGGTTAGAATATAAACAACCAATGTCTCTAAAAGTAGAAAAGAATCTTATTCAGAAGCTAAGCTTCAGAAGATAAAAGCAATCTTTAGTTTATAAAGTGAGTTTCCCATCCCATCCCTAAGTGACTTTTCTCTTTTTAATGGAAAGAAAAACAGAAAGGGTTTCCTTGGGGAAAACTGTGTCCTTGGTCAGCTGGAGCCCAAAGGCAGGAGCAGCCTCCTGTTAGAGCCCCTGGCTCACTCAGCTCGCTTCCGGGGCTCAGGGCAGGCAGTAGGGCCCTCCCCACCACGTGTTTCCTGACACCCAGCAGAGTTTTTGACATTCTGTATGCAGTCCGGGGAGCAGCTGTGACCTGTGCCTGTTCCCTGTCTCACTTCCAGGTGAGACACCTGTGCCACCTTGAAAAGATATGGAAAGCGTCTGTCCCAAAAGAAGGCAGAGAGCAACATAAGCCTGCAGAAGGAGGTGGGATCTGTTCCACAGTCTTTATGGGATGACCTCTGCCTTTTTCTTTTTTATGCTGTGAATATAATTTGTAATGTGTGGCGTGTGAACGGTGTTGGGGAGCTGGCTGGAGATGGGAAGAATGTCCTTCTAGCTCCATCATGCTGTTCTCCAAGAGGAGGGGATCAAGATCCATCTGGGCAGAGGCTGCATTTCAGCTGGAGCCACATTTACCGGTGGGCCAGGCTGTGAAACTCGGACAGGTTCCATGCGGCTCATCAGCCTCTTTCCTCTTTCCTGTTTCTGTGGGCCTGAGATGTGTTGATGCGACCCTATCTTGCTCCTTCCCTCCTTCTTTCTCTGGCTGGTGCTTTCTTGCCCTGAAGCTGTGAAAATTAACAGAGGGAGACCTCAGGAGAACAAGGGAGTCAGGGGGTGGGCACGGGGAGCTCTCATGCAAATCCAACAGCAAGAGAGGTACCTGGCTCACCTTGCACCCAGTTACTACTTTGTTGCTGCCCCAGCAGGAGGAAGAAAGGCTCTCCTCATCCCCCAGCCACAGCTCAGTCAATGACAAGCCTCCATACATCCACATCCCAGTCTACGCTGATGGACTTTGGTGTTTCAGCAGCCTTTCCTCTATAAAAGAACCTACTACCTCTCCTTTGTTCTTGCTGGTCCCGGATTGCAATTCTCTGCGCCTCTCAAATAAACCCATCTTCTGCTGGTAAAATAACTGGTGGTTTTATTTATAAGGTTGACAAAGCTAATTTGGAAAATTTTGCAGCTTGGCCACGTGGCTCTCTCTCCAGTTCCCTCTCACGTGTATTAGGACTCTCCTTCTTCTAAGTCTTGGTGGCAGGTGGGTGGTACATTCCAGATTTGGACTTTGTCGGAGGGAGCAGTCCTATTTAGGGCTCCAGTGGAATGCACCAGCTCCAAATTGCCAAAGAATCAGGAATGCTGGGGATTATTAGCACCTGGCTAATAATATCTTGTTTCCCATTTGTTCATCAGGAACCCCATGGGGAAGAGGCAAACTTGCTCTTTCTTCCCGCCTGCTTTGTTCTTCTTGTCCATTGGTAGGGTGTGTGTAATGAAGACACCAGGTGATGATGTAAACAAGAGAAACATCATTCTTGGACCACAGGGGGTCTGCACTGTCATGGCAGCCCCGCTCTACAAGGACACTAGAGACCCATATGCTTTCTAACCTGTGGCTGCCCCATCTTTAAGGATTGGAATTCGTCTCCATCTAAGTGGGCTCATCTTCCCATCTGTATTCCAAATGCTGTGGAGCAAAACTGAAACACACTGGGGACGTGGAAGATGAGCCCCTTCATCTAAGGCAGGGGTCAGCCAACTATAGACTTTGGGTTGACCAACTCTTTGTAAGCCCAGTTTGATCCAAGCATAGCCACTCTCATTTGCTCATTGCCTAATGGCTACTTTCAAACTACAAGGACAGAGTTGAGTAGTTGCAAGAGAGATACTATGGACCACAAAACCTAAAATATTTACTCTCTGGCCCTTTCAGAAAGTCTTCTGACCCTTTTTCTAACACACGATCCAGAGGCTGCCTACTTGACTCACATGCAGTTGACTAGATCCTAGTCCTGTGGCCACACCTAGTTGCAAGCAAAGCTGAGAAATGTAGTCTTTATGCTAGCTGTCCATTTGCCCAGCTAGACCTTTAGTGATTTCTAAAGGAAAACGTGGGGAGAAGAACTATGGGAGGACCACCAGCTATATTGCATATGCTGGGTCATGTGTCCTTTGGTCAGATCTTGGTGCCTCTTATTTTAATATTCTGAGCTTATAAACCGGGTTCCTGCTACTCATTCATGTTTGTGTTTGTTTCTTTTGTTATCTGTCTCCCTTTCTCATTGGGACATCTCCTACGGCAGAACCAGAGTTCCATTCAAGAGCCGACTTTCCTCTCAGAATCTTCTTCCAGAACGCCTTTATCTCCAAGTGTGGACTGAGTGCCTGGCCGTGCCAGCCCCCACTTCACTTTACATCACAAAGTCTCTGCTGCCATGGTTCCTCCCACTTCACCATTACACATCTTTGTCAGAACTTGGTCCAAAGCAGCAATTTCTGGGGCACCTGGCTGGTGCTGGCTCAGTCAGCAGAGCCCACAACTCTTGATCTGGGTTATAAGTTCAAGCCTCATATTGGGTGCAGAGATCACTTAAAAATAAAAATCTGGGGACTCCTGGGTGGCTCAGTGGTTGAGTATCTGCCTTTGGCTCAGGGTGTGATCCTGGGGTCCTGGGATCAAGTCCTGCATCGGGCTCCCTGCAGTGAGCCTAATTCTCCCTCTGCCTCTCTTTGTGTGTCTCTCGTGAATAAATAAAATTTTAAAATAAATAAAAACCTTTAAAAAAAGCAACAATTCCCTTTACCTCTGGGGATGGAAATCACCCCCCAGGCAAGTTATAAACTTGTTGTACCCTTGATGGTAGGCAAGTAGGAGTCCTAACAGATGTCCCAAGAGATCAGATCCCACCCACCCCATTCCTAGCCTATCTCTGGTCCCATCTGTGCTCTGGGACAGGACTTTCTCCTCTTCTCTCCCTCCTGACATTTCACCCTCAACACACAAAAGCCCTCAGCTTGGAGTGTTTCTGAAGCAGGCATGTAGATTCTTAACACTCTCCTCATAGGTCCGCCTCTTTTAAATATGCTCGCTAGGCTACATCCAATCTCTAATCCCATCACATCATCTTGGTTACACCCATGAGATCACATTTATCACCCGGTGTTCTGGCTTCAATATGAAACTTGCTCTTGACTCAACACTGTCTGCATATGAAGGTAGAACAGCTAAGAATCAGGTCTGGGGCAAATTTGTGTGCAAGGTGAGAAACAAATAAAAGGACTAAAGGTCCCAGCTCAGAAAAGGGAAGACTGGATGCTTGCCATCTTCAAACAGTTGAAGACCTGACATATGGAAAAGGGATTAGAACACGTCTATAAGGTTTTTATAAGATTTGACTTTTTAAGGCCTGTAAGCAAGTATTCCTTTGGTAAATAAATCTAAAATTAAACACATAAACAACCAACTAACCAACAATAAAGAGGTATCCATGAGATGGGACTTGTTCTGAATGGCCCAGAATGGCAAAACTGGGATCAAAGGGAAATACTTTTTGATGCAAAATCAAAAAGGGCCTTGTAAGAAGTGGAGCTGTCCAAATGGGTTGCTTGGACAGGTAGTGAGAGTCTGGTTTTGATGGTATCCAAGCAATAATAACCACTTGACTCCAAGCAGAATGAGGAGCTAAGCAAAGTGGCTGTCCTCCTGGGCAGTATCCTTTTTGATGACAAAGTAAAAGGAACCCTCTCACATTAGCTCAGGTTAGAGGGCACTTTTGTAAAGAATTCAGCTCTCATCAACTGTGAGGCAGAGCTGAGCAACTAGGCTCCAAGAGGTACAGGAATGAGATCAGCTCGGAGCCAGCCCCACTGTGGTGACTCAGCTCCTAGTTCTGTTTCTAGATTTCTTTCTTTTTTTTTTTTTTAGTTCAAATTCTTTCCTTGGAATCTGAAGGGTCATTGGCAAGACTATGGGTTTGGCTTCCCCCTGAGTCCGGTGTCCAGTCCTGGTTCAATCAGAGGTGGTCACAAGAGTGGAGTCTCATGATTTGAACATAAAATCATAGTGACAGAGACCATTCATGCACAGGGTGTAAAAATTCTCAGAAAAGTTGGGAAGGCAGACAGCCTCAAAGTGATCTTTAGGTTTCTGTCCAAACTCAGCATTCACAGATTCTGAGTCAAAAGTAATTCCAAGAAGATGATGTTCTTTATGCAGACTGTAAAGAGGGTGGGACTAATTCATCTTCAGCCAGAGCCATGAGCCGCAACCACAGTGAGGGGGGTGGCAGAGGTGACAGCAGGGCCTCGGGGAGAAGGGGTGGAAAAGGAAGAAATGCCCATGGTCACCTCGGTGACTTGGGTGGGCTGCCTGCTGGGATATGTATCATCCAGATTAGAGCCGCCCGCAGGCTGAATTACAAATCACCTTGCACTTGTGTCAATGCTGTCCTTAAAAGAAACCTATAAATGTTTAGAATGATTTTAGGTGGATAGAGGCTGCACAAACAGTACAGAACCCCCATGTAACCACTCCTCAGTTTCCCTCTTTCATTACTACAGTACATGGTCACAACTCATGAGCTGAGATTGATGTGTTTTTATCTAAACTCTGTACTCGATTTGGATTTCATTAGTTTTTCTCTAATGTCATTTTTCTGCTCTAGGATTCCATCCAAGACACCTGTATTTGTTTCTTGGTGCTGCCACAACAAATCACTGCAAACCTGGTAGCTTAAAACAACAGCAATGTATTCTCACGGTTCTGGAGGCCAGAAGTCCTAAATCTGTAGGGTGTGAGTACTCTGAAGGCTCCAAGGAAGAATCCTCACTGCTTCTTCTAGTTTCTGGTGGCTCAAGGTCATCCTTAGCTGGTCATCATGGTGGGGGTTGTGTCTTAGTATGATGACCCCAATCTCCACCTGCATCTTCACAAGGACTTCTTGGTGTATTTCAAATTTCCCTCTCCTTTCTCTTATGAAGACACCAGTCATTGGATTTAGGGCCCATCCTAAATTCAGGATGATCTCCTCTTGAGATCTTTTCATTATACCTGTAAGACCCTATTTCCCCTGGGGTCACATTCACAGGTTCTGGAAGTTGGGACTTGGACATATCTTTTGGTGGGGGGACATGATTTATCCACTACAATTCCACATTACACTGAGTCATCATGTCTCCTTAGGCTTCTTGGGACTGTGGCAGTTTCTCGGACTTTCCTTGCTTCTCATGACCCTGACAGCTTTGAGGATTACTGATCAGGTGTTCTGTAGACTGTTTCTCAATTTGAGTTTGTCTGATGTCTTTCTTATGGTTAGAGAGGGGTTCTGGGCCTTGGGGAGAAAGACCACAGACATGAAATGTTCCCAACATGTCAAGGGCATATGTTATCACCTGGATTTGTCACTGATGATGTTAACCATGATCACCTGGCTAAGGAAGCATTTATCAGGTTTCTCTAGAGCAAAGTTACTTTCTTACTCCCCTCATTTCCATACTCTTTGGAAGCAAGTCACTAAGCATAGCCCACACTTAAGGGGTAAGAAGCCCTGCTCCATCTCTTGAAGGGAGTATTTGTATAAATTATTTGAAATTCTTCTACTGTCCATGCAATTTTTCTCTTGTATGAAAGACAGGTGTCCTGGATTCCAACCAGAGTCCTGCTGCTTTTTCCCCAGGAGGAGTTGACATGCAGGACAGATCATCTGAGTAGATAATGGCAAGCTTTCATTAACAGAAAATACTAGAGGACAATGTTATTCAGAGTGTGGCTCACATGTGTTCCTCAGTCTGTAATCATGTAACAGATGCTGAAAGTGGCATAGAAGCTTCATAGCAACTTGACAGAGTAATTGTATGTTTGCTGAAGCTAACAATAAAGAACCAGGGTGTGGATGTCATGCGCCTTTAATTTGATGATGATTTTCCTAGTAGGTAACTTTTAGTGTCTTTTACCACAAGATTAGTCCAGGATGGATTGGGTGAGATGATCTCCAGCAGAGTGTGGGCTCTGGTGCTCCGGGCTGCTCCCTTCTCACTCACATCTGCTTGCTCCCCAGATGTGAGGCAGAGGCCAGGGCCCACCACTGGCCCACTGTCCAGATCTTATGCCACTGACCTCATGGTGTGACCTCTCCCTGTGGAGCATACTGTTCCTTCCTGCCCCCCCAACCCCCAGGCCGGACAGCCCCTCTGTGGCTCCCCAGGGATAGCATTTCCCTGTCTGCTCAGCCCCACTTGTTCCATCTGGGAGAGGTCTGCTCTCACCATGCTCTGGGCCTCAGACCTTTCCATGACTGAAGCCCATTCAATTCCTTTTGCTGGTGGTCAGGCACATGCAGGGGGCAGCAGGAGGACAGGAGGGTTTCCAATACAAACTTCTTTTCTTTTTTTTCCCCAGTGTAGACTTCTGGTGACATCTCCAAATTAGGTCATTCATATAGTCATGTTAGTGAAACAAGTTCATGAGGAGAGCCCCCCACCAGGACTTAGTTTAAAATAATAAGTATATCTTACATGTTGATTGTTCTTACACTTAATACAGAAGAGCACAGATTCTACATATTTCAAGAAACCTAATGCATAAAAACATGCAATCACAGTGCAATTTTTGATATTAATAAAAATGGCTTCTTATTCAATATGGGCTTTACTTGAAAATAAATCCTGTCATTAATCTTGTGAAGAACCCAATATTATAGTATATTCTATTAAAATATGACAATATAAAACACAATCTGTGTAATCCTATTCTGGCATATTTTCACTTTCTAATATACTAAAAGCCAAGAAAAATGCCATTGGCCAGGCCACCTATGGATGCCCAAGAAGCTCTGCTGAAGATCTTTTCCCCTTCCCTCCTCTCAATGTCATGTTACTGGGAGCCACCTTCTGTCTCTGGTGGGGCCTCCCTTCCCAGCTAACCTCTTCTTGAAGGTAGATTCCAGTTCTTTAGCTCATCAGATTTGAGTTCACTGATATTCCCTTGTCTAGCTCAGAATTTGGCACATAGTAGGTGTTATAGAATGAACTGTATCCCCCCCCACCCCAAATTTATGTTGAAGCCATCACCTCAAACGTATTTGCACATGGGGCCTCTGGGATGTAAGTAGAGTTACATGAGGTCATGAGGGTGGCATTCCCATGATGGGATTAGTGCCCTTATAAGAAGGAACACCAGAGAGCTCTCTGTCTCTCTCTCTCTCTGTCACATGAGGACACACTGACTGTGGCCATTTACAAGCTAGGAAGAGAGACATCACTAGAAATGGATCATGCTGGCACTCTGATCTTGAGTTTCTGGCCTCCGAAACTATGACAAAATCAATTTCCATTGCTTAAGCCACCCAGTCTGTGGTATATCGTTATGCAGCCCGAGCTGACTAATACTGCAGGTGCTCCATTTATATTCCTTAACTGAATAAATAAGCAGTGCATAATCCTGGAGTGGACAGATCACAGATAACAGGCCTCATTCTTGGAAAGGATCCTTCCCTATTTCAACACCCTTAATTTCCAGAGTCTTTTACAAAAACCCCAGCCCTTCCCAGGCCAGGGACATAAAATCAATGGTAGTTTGGGTTCTTAGTGTCTATTTCTTAGCACAGGGACAGCAAATAATTCTCTCCTGAAAAGGCACCCTGGATCACTTGGTGGTGAGCTCACCCAGCACCACACTGATGGGGATTCTGAACGCTTTTCCAGATCTAGTGCGGGGAACTGTGATTGATTAGCAATGTCTGTCATGGCCATGGAAGGGGCAAGTACAGGTGTCTGTGCCAGTCCTGACTTAGGATCCAGTTGAGCACAGGCATCTGGCCCCAGCATCGGTGACTTCTCTGAGCAGTATATGTCTGCAATCCCACCCTCAAAGGGCTCCCAACTTCTGCAGGTGCCCAATGAGGAGGAAGGCGCAGAGGGGTGGAGGGAAGGTCAATGACCAAAGAGAACTTAATCTGTGCCTGCACTCCGATCAGAGCAGAGAGCATGTGTGTGGGTCCTCAGGGTGCAGCACACACAATGGCACTGGCAGCTCTAAGAGAGCTTGCAGTTCATTTTCACCAGCATGTATTCATCACCTTTCATGGGTCCAGCCCTGTGCTGACTCTCACAGGTGGAGACAGAATCACTGGGAACCCCGTGGCCTAGGAGCTTACGATCTTCTGGGATGAGCGTGCAGGAAGTTCATGGAAGGAGGGTCTCAGTCCAGGTGTGTGTGTGTGGGTGCTCAGGTAGCAACAGGACCCAATGGACAGGCAGGAAAGGGGCTGGGGTCTGCCACATGGAGACAGTGGTGCAGCCCACATCAGAGGGTGGCCTGTGACAGTTTGGGGGAGATGGCACAGGGTAAGTGCTGCAGAGAGCAGGGCAAGAGCCTAGCTGTGGGGTGTGGGGGGTCAAGCCAAGACTCCAGTCTACAGAACGAAAGGAAAGAACTCAGGACCCGAGGAGAGCCTGTGGGGGTCCCAAGGAGCAAGGCCAGTGCCCAGGGAAACCAAACTCTATGACAGAGCAGAGTGCTGACCAGTCTCAGCCCAAGGCTGACTGCAGCTGGGAAGCCTGAGGTGACACAGGTGAGTGAGGGAGCAGCGGCTCGGTGGCCACAGGGACAGGTGCATCGCAAGTCACTCAGCCAAAGCCCCTGGGGAAGTGAGAATGAGGGAGGAGCAGCACAGGCAAAAGAGAGAGAGGGACAGGGCATGCCGGATGACAGGGACACCAGGAACGAAGGCTCAGAGGCAGGTAAAAATCAGAAGCCTGGCCCAGCAGAAGAGCAGGTATGCGCCAGGGAGAAACAGCAGGGGGAGGAGGTCAGGGCAAGTCACCCAACCGAGTTCCTTGAATGCAGGCAGCCTAGCCAAGAGTTAAACAAAGCTTATGAAGCTGCATGACCTGGGTTCAAATCTTGCCTCTTCCTCTTCCTAGTTGTATTACTTTGGGCAAGTTACTTAACTTCTCTGGGCCTCTGATTCCTCAGCCAGGGATAATAATAGTACCTGACTTCATAAGGTTGTTGTCAAGGTTGATTAGAATGTACAAAGTACCCAGAACAGTGCCTGGCACGCAGTGCTATGTAGAGAGTCATGAGAGTTAAAATTATGGAGTTGGAACATTAATCAGTATCTCCCAAATTGTGTTCCACGGGGTCCTCAACTAAGAGAAGCTCCCATCAAAAAGGTTCTTATGGTGGGATAAATTTGGAAAATGTCTCCTATAATCTCTGAATCAAGATTTGAGGAGCCCATAGTAAAACAAAAACAACCACAAAAGCAAAGCCCTTCTAAGTTTATTTAGCCCTTGTTTTCCAAGCCTGGTGAGTCATGGAATCTTCCAAACACCTTGTGGAGACAGTGTTCCATGGGATACCAGTTTGGGAAGTGCGGTGGGCAAAGGCAGCAGGGGAACCTCCAAAGAGGGTTCCCAGGAGAACCCATCTGACCAGGGCAAGCCAGGGCAAGATTCAAGTGCCAGCAGAAGAAGGGGGAGGCAGCTGCAAAGCCCAGGGGGAGGGACCCCATAACTGGAGGGAAGGGTGCATAGGAGAGATGCACAGTGGGGAGACAGAGAAGACCAGGGTGCTGTGGGGATGTGGAGGGGAGAGAAGAGGAGGCTGAGGTGGCTCCGAGAATTCATATTTCCAGAAGGAGCAGGAAGGGGGCAAGGATTGGGGGGCATCCCTCACTTCTCACCTGCCCGCTCACCCCATCACTCCTTTCCAACTGTATGACCGAGGGGAGTCTAAGTCCCGTGGCTTCCCCCAGGACAGGCCTGTAGAGAGAAAGGTGGGGACGGCCCCCAGAAGGCCAAAGACGGGCTGTCCCCGCTACGCACAGATCGTGTGGTTGTAAAATCGACAGCAGATGTCCAGAGCCCCTCGGCTGACCTCTGGGCTGGTGCTGAAAGGAAGCGAAGGTGGTCTGGGCTCCCGGCCCGGCTCTGCTGGCCACTGAGGGCTGTGCAGCCCTAGGAACCTTGCTCTGGGACTCCGATCCGCCCTCCTCCCCATGTCTGGTCGTCCAGCCCCGTGTCAGCCACAGCCGCGACACATCTAGCCCTTGCCTCGGAGCCAGAGGCAGCCATGGGGCACTTAGACCTTCCGCACCCCGTCACTCTCAGGGCCCCAGAGCCCCCCGGCCCGGGCTTCACCTCTGGAAGGCCTGGCGGCAGCACTGATACACCTCAAAGCTGCTGTTACTGAGGGTCGCGTTCAGGAGGGTCCTGCAATCAGCTGCAATCCACCGGGGCACATAGAGGATCCCTGTGCACAGAAGCCAGCGGTGGCAAGGTCCGTCCCCCTGACTCCCCACCCCCGGGAACTTCCAGAGGGGTCAGAGCCCTGGTTTCCAGCCCTGGATGGAGCTAGAAAATCAGGACTCACCTGCCACGCAGGCATTCACCAGGGACACACAGGTCCCCGTGCAGAGTGCCCGGAGCACTATTTGGGAGAAGTCGCTCTTCCGTCGGGGGGCCATGGAGGCTGCAAGAGGACAGGGTGCTGAAGGCCAGGAAGCCATCGGTCCTTCTGCCCAAACTCTGCACCCCTGGGTGCATCTGCTAACTATCCCCTTCCTCTTCTGGGCAGCGAGAGGGACAGATGGTGTCCTCCTGACTGCTTACTGAGTTTGGGAGTCCACCTTGGCCTGACCTGGGCCCCCAGGGAGTGCCCCACACCTGCCACCAGTGGAGGCAGATGTAGGAAAAGAAGGTGAGTTTGCTGTCGGGCAGACCTGGATTCAACACAGGCTCAGCCGCCAACTAGCAAGTGACTGGGGCCATAACTCCACTTCTCCAAGACTCTGTTTCTTTCTCTGTGAAATGGGATGGTTACAGCACCAGGCAGGGGGACTGGGAGGGGTGGACATGAGAGCTTGAAACTGTGCGAGGCCCTCCTCCCTAGGCCTTATAGGGCCACCAGTTCACTGTGGGTATAGGAGCCAGCAGTCCAAGGCCTCAGGGGACAGGCCAGTGCCTCACCTTCCGTCCCTCCCCAGACCCCTAAGCCAAGGTTGGCCTGCAAAGGCCACGATGCTGACTCTGGGCCACCCCCAGCAGCAGAGAAGTCCTTTGTCTGGGAGGGACCTCCTGAGCCATCTTGCTGAGGCCTTGCCCTGGACATACTGGGGAGTGGATCCCAGAAGTTGTTCCAGAGCCACGCCCCCAACTGCCCAGGATGCTGGGGAGGCCCCCAGGACTCACTCAGGCCTCCCAGCATGATCCCAATGGAACTGAAGTTGGCAAATCCACAGAGGGCGAACGTTGTGAGGATTTCTGCTCTGACCTGAAGATACAGAAGATGAGTGACAAAGGGGGTCATGGGCCCCCTTGCATGGGCGGGGCACCCCCACATCACCCTGGCTCCCTGGCCCTACTTTGACTCACTACTAGTATGTCTTTGGACACACTTATTTTGACCCCCCACTCACTCCTCCCCCCCCGCCCCAGGCCTCCTACACCTGAGCTAAGTCAGCTTAGCCTGCACCCCTGAGCAACAGCTTCCCTCCCATTGCCTTCAGCCCCCCCCCTTTTTTTTTTTAGATTTTACTTATTTATTCATGAGAGACACAGAGACAGAGGCAGAGACAGAGGCAGAGGGAGAAGCAGGCTTCCTGCAGGGAGCCCGATGTGGGACTCGATCCCAGGATCCGGGGATCACCCTCTGAGCCAAGGCAGATGCTCAACGACTGAGCTACACAGGCGTCCCCAGCACCAGCCTTTCCCGGTTTGATTCATGCTTGCCCTGCCCTCTGGCATTGGCCCTACTACGCTCTGTGCCCCGGGGGCACTTGGTGAATGGCCCTTCCCAACACGGCAGATCTGAGCCTGTTCCCTTCAGGGCTCTCAGGCATAGCCTCCTGAGGACAGTGAAGAACTGGGAGCCCAGCCAGCTGGGCTCCAGGCGTGTTCCCACCTATGACCAGATTGAGCAAGTCAATAGCCTCTTTCAGTGTTAGTTTCTCCATCTGCAATGTGGGAATAACAGTATCTGCCCAAGGTCACACACTCCAGGTGGAGAACCAGGCAGAGACTAGGTACTTAAGCAAAGTAAATCCCCTTCCCTTCACAATTAAACAGTTGTTTAATTTCCCAGAAAGTGGTGTTAAGAGCCAAATGGAACAATTTGGAATTAAAAAAGTGGCTTAGGTCATACCTCACACCGTAAAAAAAAATCAATCCTAGAGCTTTGAAGCAGATAAATACTGATATTTTAAACATCAAATAATAGAAAATATAGGAAAATAGTAATTATACTGATATGGTAGCATTATTACTCTTATTTTGGAGAGAAGCAAACAGAGGGTCAGAGAGGTTAAGTAATTGAGGAAGTTCACACAGCAAGAAGGTGGCTGTGTCAGAATTGGAATTCAGTTCCATCTGACCACAAAACTCATGCTTTTCAATATTTTACCATATTGTTCCAGGAATTTAACACTTACCAGATTTCTGGAATGGAGATAACTTTCTAAGTTTAGAAATAATAGAAGAAATCACAAAGGAAATGATTTGGTTAAAAGAAAAATCCCCAAATACAAAGTGAAGGGGAAAAAAGACTAGGAAATATATATGCATAAAATATAATAGAAAAAGGTTAACGTCTTTATAACATAAAGGGTTTATACAAATGGATGGAAAAATATTAAGGTTTCTGCATCCTGCTCGCTCACCTACAATCACCCTCTATACGGCAGCTCATGTAATCTTAAAACGTCAAATGTCAAATCTTTGAGAACTTTCTATGGCTCTTCGGCCTGTGCCAGTCTCTTCCACAATTACCACCTGCTCTAACTGTGCTTCTTTCAGGTCTCCAAAGAAGTGCTTTTCAACCTCAGGGCCTTTGCACCTGTCTTTTCTTTGTCTGGAATGCTCGTCCCAGCTGCACCTGGTCCCTTCTCCTTCCTCCAGGTCTTGGCCTGTTATACCTCAGGGGGCCTTTTCTGACTAGCCTGACCAAGGAAGACTCCTCTGTTTCTTCCTCTTGTTTCCTTTGTAGAACTTAATTCAAATTGTGGTTACTTTTTCTTCCTTCACTTTCTTGTGCTTTTCAGCAGGCCTAAATTTCATGACCCCAGGGACCATGTCTGTCTGCTTCGCCTTTCAATTTCTGGTGCCTAGCAGGGTGCCTAGCCGAGTGCCTGGCACCCTAGAGATCTCAAGCAATACTTGCTACAGGAATCAAGTTCTTAAAAAGGATCCTAGAGGAGCATTCCACCCATTATCTCTAGAGGAGCAACTGAGCCTGGGGGTGAGGGCAAGGAATAAGGGGGAAATCTGTGCTTTTGATATCACACAAACTTTTTTTAAAAACTGAAGGCTACATTCCCTTACAATTTAAAGCATAATTTAAAAGAGAAGAAAAAAAATATTTCCCCTTTCAAATACCTAGTAACCCCAGAAAGGCAAATTAAACAATGAGCTAGGGACGCCTGGGTGGCTCAGTGGTTGAGCATCTGCCTTCAGCTCAGGGCATTATCCCAGAGTCCCAGGATTGAGTCCTGTGTCGGGCTCCCTGCATGGAGCCTGCTTCTCCTCCCTCTGCCTATGTCTCTGCCTCTCTCTCTGTGTATCTTGTGAATAAATGAATAAAATCTTTTAAAAAATAAACAACGAGCTATTATTTGCCTGTGAAAGTAGCACAACTTTTTAAAAGGAGGCTGCTCAGTGCTGTTTAGTGTGTGGTGAAATCAGCGCTCACAGCACAGCCGGGGGTGATTGCAGTCCCTGCTACCCTTTGGGAAAAGTTAGTGGGATGCATGCAACCACACCAGGATGCATGCCATGTGATTCGGTCATCCCACATCTGGGAAAGCTCCCAAGGAAATGATCCGAGAGGAGGGAGAAGTTCTGTGCGCAGAGCTATTCATTTAGCAGCGTGTAAAATAGCCAAACGATGCAATTAACCCGATGAGCCCAACAGCAAGGGATTGGTTAAATATGTCAGAACTTGTACATCAAAAACAATGTTTCTGTCACTAGGTACGGAGAAAGCTGGCTCTGATACAGGGTGGATCTCCGTGATGACTACTGGAAACTCCGTCTTAAAGAAAGAATGGGAGAAAATGCATAAAACACCCCTAGCTGCTATTTTTGGATGGTAAGGGGACAGGTAATGGTTTTATTCTCAGTGATGCTATGTAGAGCTTTGATGTGTTTAGAAACATTCATTTTACAGAGCTTTTAGAGTTTTGTTTTGTTTTTTTAAGAGTGAGAGAGACAGAGCATACATGCTCGCAGGGTGGGGAGGAGCCTAGGGAGACAAAGAATCCCAACCAGACTCCCCGCTGAGCCAGAAGCCCAACACAGGACTTGATCTCACGACCCTGAGATCATGAACCAAGCAGAAACCAAGAGTCAGACCCTTAACTGATGGAGCCACCCAGGTGCCCCTAATTGTTAGAAATAGATTTTCACAGAAAAAGCCACCTCCTGAGCTGAATGCAGTATACTGGCAGTGAATGTGGTGGGGCCTCCCCATCTCGCTCCCTCTGCTCACTGGATGCTCACACGTGTCGCTCTAAGCGCAGCTGTGGCACGGATCACACTGGTTTCCAGTTAGGAGAGGCAAGGCGCCATGGCCGTCCCAAAGCCACACAGCATGGTGGCCCATCCAAAGTGAGATTGCAGGTCTCCCCAACAAACGAGGCCCTTTCCTTGCTGCTCAGCCTTCTAACAGGGCTTCGGGCAGGAAGCCTCCTAACAAGGCTTCGGTCTGTCTTGTCGCCCAGGGCAGTAGGACTGGGGGGCTGGGCACCACCTCGGTGTGTCCCCTGCCTATCTGGGAGCCCGGACAGCAGCTGCCAGGGGGCTCAGGAGCAGCTGCATCAAGCCCCAGGGGAAGGGACTGGGACACTCACAGAGATCCACTGCTTCTTGGGGCCGACCCACTCCTCAGCTCCAGAGAGGCGGCGCTGCTTGTACTGGGAGAGCCCCTGGTAGGCCACGAACTCGTTCAGGAACAGTTTGATTCCCAGCAGCTCAGCCACCACCGGGCAGTCCTCCCAGGCCACACCCATTAAGAAGGCCACAGGCCGCAGGGCGTAGGAGCAGATGAGCTGAGGCACAAGGCAAGGGCAGCTGCTGGGACCAGGGCCGCCCGGGGCTCTGTGGGGTGTCCACCCACCCCACCCCACACACCCCTCAAGGGCTACAGGGCAGCCCCGCTATACCTGGAAACTGAGCTCCTGGACACCCACCATGGCTCCCAGCCAAGAGAGGGCCGCATTGATGAAGGCCAGCAACGCCAGGAAGGCAATCAGGTTGGCTCCAATGTTGGCCACCAGCTTCACAGAGACAGCAGCTCCACTGCTGGCTGCTTCTAGGAGGTTCTGAGAATCTCTGTTTGGGGGGCCAAGAAGTACCATGATTGGCCTGTCTCCACAAACAGTGGGGCTCCTCATCCCATAGGCTCAGAGAGGACCCTTGAACAAAGTGTTTTGGAGCAGAGGGTCCTTGTTTTCTTTCTGAGACCCAGGGGGAGAAGGGGGCTGGTCCCAGCACTAGGATGAGACCTGGACTGCTGGCGCGCAGCTGTGTCCACACATAGGAGCCACCAGCCACATGTGGCTTCGGAGCACTTGAAAGGTGGCTGGATTGGATGGTGTTGAAGTATTATAAGTATAAACACTGACCAGATTTCAGAGATCGAGTACCAAAAAAAAAAAAAAAAAAAAAAAGAACATGAAATAGCTCGTTAATAATGTTTTATATTGATTACATGTTGAAATGATAGTTTGGACACACTGGATTAAAAATATTTTATTAAAATCGACCTGTTTCTTTTGACTTTTTAAAAGAACAACTAGCAGGGGCCACCTGGGTGGCTCAGTCGGTGAAGAGTCTGCCTTTGGCTCTAATTGTGATCCAGGGATCCCAGGTGGAGCTCACATGGGGGGGGGGGTCCTTGCTCAGCATGGTGCCTACTTCTCCCTCTGCCCCTCCCCCACCACTCCTCTCGTTCACTTTCTCAAATAAAAAATAAATAAAATCTTTAAAAACACAACTACTAGAAAATGTACAATTATGGATGTGGCTCACATTAGAGCTCTACAGGGCAGTGCTGCTGTAGACCTCCAGGAATTTGTGAGGTTGGGGCTACTCATCACATCCCCAAGCACATTTGTCAAAAGTGGTGCCTTTTCAACATTTCTAATGCTGTAAATGCCGCACAGTGGTTAAGGCTGCGAAGAAGAGGTGTTAGCAGTGCATGAGATCCAGGACCGTGCTGGGTCAGCGGGGGCCTGACACCCTGGTGGTGGGAGCTCAAGGCTCAGGGAACAGGTGGCCTGGAGCCTTCTCAGGACCCTTCCCAGGGCCCACGCAACAGGCTGCATCCCCAACCAGGGTGTCCCCCCTGGTCCCAGACTGGAAATTAAGATGCAGGACAGGAGTCCGAGTGTTTTGTGACTGAAGCCACAAGTGGGGCAGTGAACCAGGAGAGAGTCTGGGGCTGGATAGAGAGAAGCTGCGGTGCCGGTGCCGCCTGCCCGGGGCTCTGCTCCTGCTTCACCGTCTCCTGCTCCCTCCACGCCCACCACCGCCTTCCCCTTCCCCACCTCTCTCCCTCCCTCCCTCCCCCTCTGCTCCCCCAGACTCTCCTCCTGCTCTCCCCCAACCTCCCCCCTCCACTTCCTCTCCCCTCCCTACTTTCCCTCCCCCTTCCCCTGCCCTCCCCCCGCCCTTCTGTTTCCCCCTTCCCCCTCCCCCCTTCTACTGCCCTCCTCCCACCCCCATCCCCCTCCTCCCCCCCCACAGGCCGCAGCCCGCGGTGCTCACCCGCAGGTCAGTTCCACCCCTTCGGGGCTCCTGAACTTGGACTCCTCTACCTCGGGGTAGACCAGCTTGGAGAGGGCCAGGGCGCAAGGGGCAGCCATGACGGAGGCGGCAATCAGGGAGGCGGCATCGATCTGCAGGGTGGGAACAGGCCTCCTTACCCTCCCCTCCGGAGCCCGGACAGGGACACCGCAGGAGGGCGGCCCAGGGCAGGGGGGCCTCGTGTCGCCCTGACCACGGTCAGAATAACCTCTGCGTAAAGGGTCACGGGCTGTGCGCTGGGAACCTCGTGTTTCCCTCCAGCACCTTCTGTAAGTGAGCAGAGCAAGCAGTGTTACCCCACAGGGGTGAGTGTGACCTGCCCGAAGTGAAGACAGAGAAGGAATTAGAGTCTTTGGGCTCCAAGGCCAAAGTCCTTCCTTCCCTCCTGGGCTGCCTCTGTCGACAGTCATCTGGAGGCTGGTCCACCAGCGGCCAAAGGGTTTGTGATGGTTCCAGACAAAGCTCACAAAACAAGGGTTGGGATGGAGCCCAGACGTGACCTAATTTGACCTCATAATATAGGAATGTCTTTCCTCTATAGGATTCCTGTCTTGAACACTTACTGTGACAGGGAGCTCACCACTTCAAGGCAGCCCATCATCCCTCTCCTGTGGTCAGAGAGCTCTTAGGAAATCTGCTGCCTAGGACAGCCATCCTCTGGCCCTGGGTCTGTCTCTGGGAGCCATGCTGTAGAAGACCCTCCCAGCAGAGGACACAGCAACCTAGGTGAGCCCCTGGAACTCTTCCTTCCTGAATTTTTTTTTAAGATTTTATTTATTTATTTATTTATTTATTTATTTATTTATTTATTTATTTATTTATTTTATTTATGATAGTCACACACAGAGAGAGAGAGAGAGAGAGAGACAGACAGAGAGAGAGAGGGGCAGAGACACAGGCAGAGGGAGAAGCAGGCTCCATGCACTGGGAGCCCAACGTGGGATTCGATCCCGGGTCTCCAGGGTCGCGCCCTGGGCCAAAGGCAGGCGCTAAACTGCTGTGCCTCCTAGGGATCCCAAGATTTTATTTATTTTATTTGACAGAGAGAACAAGAGAGCACAAGCAAGTGGAGTAGTAGAGGGGGAGGGAAAAGCAGGCTCTTGGATGAGCGGGGAGCCAACATGGGGCTCCATCCCAGGACCCTGGGATCATGACTTGAGCCAAAGGCAGACGCTTCATGGACTGAGCCACCCAGGCGTACCCCCCCCTTCCTGAATTTTTATCCTCACTGTGGCCTCAAACCCTTTGCTTCCCTGTTTTCTTCCCCAGAGATAAATGGGACATTTTCCAACACCATCTTATTTATCAAGGGGAAAAATTAGAACCAACCCAAACATTTAACAAGGGAACAGCTAAGCATTGTCACACTGTCATCCAAAATGATGATCACCAAGGCTTTGTGATAACGTGGGGGTCTATTCACAAAATTACATGTAGAGCATAAACACAATGATAGGGAAGGGGGAGAAAACCCCCTCCAAAACTATGCATGAGAAGACCAGAAAGAAACACACCAAAATGTCAACCAGTTGTCTGTCCCTGGATCATGGGACCAGGGTGATTTTCTCTTCTTTCTGCTCTTTGGTGTAATTCTAAATGTCCACAATACTATGTGTCACTATTATTATAGGCAGAAAAATAAAATAGACTTTTTCCTCCCTAAAGTTTGTAACAAATCAACTATAGTTCTTTAATTTTATCTAAAAAGGGGGAAAGAAAGGAGAGGAGTTAAGTTAAAGCTACACGTTCAGGCTAATAAAAGCAGAGAGCCAAAGAAGCCCGTGGAGGTGCCAGGGACTGATGACGAGGAGCCAGGCCTGGGAGACCCTCTAAGGCTCTGAAACAGTGTGATGTCTGTCCTCCTTCCTGTTCTTTTCAACTTTCTTTGTTTCTTCTCAATGGGGAGTAGACACTCCTAAATATGAGTATCAGCACCAACACCCACCTCCTGCACACCCCATCCCAGATCCTGGGTGGGAGGCTCTGCTCCTTGTGGGAAGAGACCAGCCTCAGGGCTGGTGTCCTCTCTGGATGTTCTGGGCTGGGCTTTGGGACATCACTGGCCTCCTCGGGGCTGCCCAGTCCCCACATGGGACTCTGCCATACCTGGAATCTTGGGCTTTCCTCCTCTGTCAGGCAAGACCCTCCCCCTTCCTCTGCTTTGGAGGTTTGCCAACTTGAGCAGGGAATGCATCCTGCAGTTGTCACATTCCTGAGCACCATCTGAGTGGGCCAGTCATGGCCATAGCCTCAGATGTTCCAGCTGGTCACTTCAGCTTGTAAGGGGCTGAGTTCTGCCCAGGCTGGCCTCCCTGGGGCGCTGGGTCAGTCCACACACACCTCCTCACTGCCAGCTACTCCTCAGGCTGTGACACCCCCGGTCCTGCTTACAGGCATACAGTCAGGAATGCCTTCTGTCCCAGTATTGGGACATTGGGCTATTGCTGCTCTACCCAAAGGTGTCCCATGTGGAGAGGGATAGAGGGTATGAGCCCTCCATCAAAAGCAATTTTACTGGGGCACCTGGGTGGCTCAGTGGTTGAGCGTCTGCCTTTGGCTCAGGTCGTGATCCCGGAGTCCTGGGATGAAGTCCCACTTTGTGCTCCCCGCAGGGAGCCTGCTTCTTCCTCTGCCTATGTCTTTCTCTGTGTGTGTCTCTCATGAAAAAATAAAAAAATAAAATCTTAAAAAAAAACCTTTACGGAAAAAGGAAGAAGAAATCCATACAACTACAAAGCATAAAATGGACCAGTTTCAGAAGGATGGATTTCAGATCCTAATATGTCAGAGAAAGAACTCCCACTTTTTCAACACTGTGCTCTTTCCTCTTACTGCGTTTAATTCTTAAACTTCCATGAGGTGGGCAGTAATTCTGCCCATTTTACAGATGTGGAAACTAAGTAGTAGACTCTCGGGTGGCCCTGCTCAGAACCTCACAGACCCTATCCTAGGGGCCCTTGCTCTTGCCCTATTCTTTGAAGAGCATCAGTGGCTGATTCCCTCAGTGTGACCCTGCCTAGCCTGTGTTCACAGCTCCTCTCACAAGGGCCCCTGAGCCAAAGGGATGGGTAGAGAGACCAGTTTCTGGGGTTAGTGGAGAGGGCTGGGGCCTGCTTTAGAGTTTTGGGGAACTATGGTGAAAAGGCCGATGTATATGGAGATCACAGTGAAAGAATTCAGTGGAGCCCCGAGGCCTCAGAGCAGGGGAGGTCGAGACCAGTGTTGTCCAATACAAATATACTGAGAACCATGTCTATGACTTTAAATTCTCTAGTAGCCAATTAAAAAAGTAAAGAGAAACAGGTGAAATTATTTTTGGTAATGCGTTTTACTTAACATATTCAAAATATTATCTTTCCACTCATGTAATCGATATAAAACTTATTAATGAAATATACCCATTTTCTTCCATACGAAGTCTCATAGCACATCTCATTTCAGACTAGATATATTTCCAGGGCTCAGTAGCCACACATGGCTAGTGGTCACTGTATCGGACAGTACAGGTCTAGAAATATCCAGCAGGAGGAGTGCAGGGCAAAGGGAGCCGGTTGAGCAACAAAGAGGAGTGTGCAAGAGGGATCTTTCTGGAATTCAAGGGCTGAGGGCTGAGTCAGAGGTACAGTGAGGAGCTGCCTGAGGGAGGGAGTAAAAGGAAGGGGAGAGAGTGGGAAGCCCCCCCATTGCCCCCGAGAGCCCTGGGGCTGCAGTGGCAGCCAATAGCCAGGTGGGGGCAGAAGAGAGCTTCTCTGATACCAGATTAAAGGCCAGGGAGGGAAGGAGGGAAGGAAGGTCTTTAGGGTGCTTTTCACCTGGGGGGGCCATGGGGGGGCCATGGGGACTGGAGCTTCGTACCAGAGCCTGTGCATGGAGATCTGGTGGCTTCTGCACATTCTGTTGAGCTAAAGGGAAGTGGGCACCCAGGTCCCTTCAGGGGAGGCCTGACTACCTGGCCTGGCTGGGCCTGGACTCTGGCGTGAGACAAGAAGGAAAGGAAGCTAAGTTGCAAGGCAAATTGTGGAATAGGGAGAGTTCGCCCAGGATTTGATTTGATATTTTATTTATTTTATTTATTTTATTTTATTTTATTTTATTTTATTTATTTTTTTTACTATTTTTTTTTCTCCCAGGATTTTAGTCTTAAGTAATGGTACCAAGGGTTATGCAGTGGAGTGAATACCATTCTTTAAACTGGCTGTGGAGGGGCACCTGGGTGGCTCAGTGGTTGAGTATCTGCCTTGGGCTCAGGTCATGATCCTGGGGATCCTAGGATCAAGTCCCACATTGGGGTCCCTGCAGAGAACCTGCTTCTCCCTCTGTGTATGTCCCTGCCTTTCTCTCTGTGTTTTGAATGAATGAATGAATGAATGAATGAATGAATGAATGAATAAATAAATAAATAAATAAATAAATAAAATCTTTTAAAAAATAAAAAAATAAACTGAGCAACCCAGAGCAATGTCAAGACATGTAAAGGTGCTAAGTCCCAACAACACTATGGGACCTCTTCCCCCAACACACCACCATGAAAAAAGTTTCAGGAACAGAGTTTTGAGTTTCCATTTTTGAAATATCAAATTCCTTCCAAAATCAATTTGGGGTGGGGGTGGGGGCTGAGGCGGGGCACCAGCCCTGATGGGCTCTCTCCATGCCTTCGTGGTATAAGTGGGAACCAGACAATCTCTAAAATTCTGGTTGGGGGAATGCCAAGTGGAGAAGACCCAGAGCAGGAGGGGCCTTTTGGAAAAGTCACACAGCATCCACTCTGCTGGGGGCTGAGCAGCTCTGTATGTATCTGCAGCTGAGCTTAGCTGTGTGACCCCTGTGCCGAAGGAAGAAGGGACTTAGGGCAGGTTGGCTCAACTCCTTGCCCACTCCTGAGAACAGAAATGAAAAAGACAGGTAGGATTTGGGACCAGAGGAGGGGACAGTGTGGGTTATTCTAGCATCACTCCCCCCTACGCACACACAGGTGCATGCACGCACATACATACACACACACACACACAGAGCATCCCTCAGGAGACCCTGCAGACAGTGAAAAACAGTCCTCATTCTCCATCTGACCAAGGAGGCCCACCTCACTCTAGAGGGTGAGTGATGGTACATGATATGGATGTCACTTAGGTTGTTGCTCTTTCTTTCCTTTTTTGTTTGTTATTGCAAATAATGCTGGAATTTAACATTTTTTGACCACTTATAAAAATATTTCTTTTTTAAACAATATTTTATTTATTTATTTGACACAGAGAGCAAGAGCACAGGCAGGGGGAGCAGCAGGCAGAGGCAGAGGGAGAAGCAGACTCCCCACTGAGCATGGAGCCCTAGGTGGGACTTGATCCCAGGACCCTGAGATCATGACCTGATCTGAAGGCAAACGCCCAACTGACTGAGCCACCCAGGTGCCCCTGAAAATATTTCTGTATCATAATATTCCTAACTGGATCAAAGGGAAAGAGTTTTGTTTTTTTAAAGATTTTCTTTATCTACTTGAAAGAGAGAGAGAGAGCACAACCTGGGGTGGGGGGTGGGGGGAGGGTGCAGGAGGAGAAGGAGAAGCAGGCTCCCTGCCAAGCAGGAGAACCAATCCTGGGACCCCAGGATCACGACCTGAACCAAAGTTAGATGCTTAATTGACCGAGCCAGGGTATCCCTGGGTGGCTCAGCGGTTTGGCACCTGCCTTTGGCCCAGGGCGTGATCCTGGAGTCCTGGGATCGAGTCCCGTGTTGGGCTCCCGGCATGGAGCCTGCTTCTCCCTCCTCCTGTGTCTCTGCCTCTCTCTCTCTCTCTCTCTCTCTCTCTGTCTCATAAAAAAAAATCTTTAATTGAGTGAGCCACCCAGGTGCCCTGGGAAAGAGTATTTTAAAACTGACAGATGTTCTCCCAAAAGGTGACACGCATTACACTCCTGTCAAGAGTGTAAGGCCCCCATAGCCTTGCCATTTAGTGGCATATAAAATAATGCATATCTTCTAGAAGAAACAGAAGTCACTATTGTTTTAGTTTCTTTGAACTATCAGTGAGCTGGAATATCTTTTTATGATTTATGAACTATTTTCACCTGATCAATCTCAATCATTTAAACTTATTAAAAATTGTGACTTTCACCATACAGATATTTTTCATTTTTATTAGTAACTCTGTCAACCTTTTCCTTATACTTCTGGATTTTGTGCCATGCTCAGAATTTTGCAAGAAAAAGGCAAACTGCCTAAAAGCATTGGTAGAATTATCTCATTTTGAGTAAAAAAAGCAAAAGCAAATATGTGTGTATTCAGGTACATATACTTAAATGACTACACAGAAAGATCAAGAATGATGTATTTTAAGTCAGTGATTCTCATCTGAAGGCTTGTTGTAATACAGGATATGGGCCCCATCCCCAGCATTTCGGATTCAGCCAATTTAGGGTGGGGCCCAAGAATTTGCATTTCTAACAAGCTCCCAGTTAGAGACCTACCGTTCTAATCTTCTAATCTGGTAAAAGCAGTTCCCTTGAGAAGTGGATTTGAAGTGTTTTTTTTTTTCCTTTTTACTTCACTTCTGCAAGAAGCAAATATTTCTTTGATAGTTATGAAAAACAGTAAGGTCTTTAAAGATTTGCGTGTGATTGGGATCCCTGGGTGGCGCAGCGGTTTGGCGCCTGCCTTTGGCCCAGGGCGCCATCCTGGAGACCCGGGATCGAATCGCACGTCAGGCTCCCAGTGCATGGAGCCTGCTTCTCCCTCTGCCTATGTCTCTGCCTCTCTCTCTCTCTCTCTCTCTCTCTGTGTGTGTGTGTGACTATCATAAATAAATAAAAATTAAAAAAAAGATTTGTGTGTGAAAGTACAAAAAGTACAGAGCTTTAACAAATGCAGAGGCTATTACCAGGCACTTTGCAGGAGACACATTGGAAGATTCATCTCTGCTTGCCACGCAGTATTGGAATTGGTGTAAGGGCTCGAGTCACACCATTGGAATTTGACCTAGAAATGTATTGCGCTCAAAAGCTGCACAAGCAATTATTTTGGAACTGAGGGCGGATTTGTACCCAGCAAAGGCGTGGGGAAGCGGAGGGTAGAAGGAGTAGAACAGAGCTTCAGGAACAGCCCAGATGAGTGACTGTGTGTGTGTCTTACAGTCAGACAGATGTGGGCTCGAATCCTGGCTGGGGCATCTCACTTGTTCTCTGAGCCTCAACTTTCTCATCTGTAAAATGTGGATGCTGAGATACCAAGCAGTTTCCTGGTCCATAAGAAGTGTTCAGTAGGTGGAACACTGGGAACCCTTGCCCTCACTGGCCCACATGAGAACCCCGAAGGGTCCAGCTCACCTAGCTGGCCTTATTCGGGAGCATCACCACAGCCCAGGTTCCAGACAACCCAGGAGAGAAGACTCTAGGCTGCCTCTAGCCATGGGCTATGTGGGGCTCCCACAAAGGAGGGTTATGGGTTCTTGAGGTTTTCAGCAAGCAAAGGGAGAGCTCTCCATACCCCAAAGGAGATGTAGGCACCCAGCAGACTCCCAGCAATGGTGGCGTAGCCTCCGGTCATGACAGCATGGATTTCAGAGAGCGTCATGTCTGCCAAGTAGGGCTGGATCAGCAGAGGAGCCTCGGTCTGCAAACAGGAAAGATATTAGACAACCAAGAGCTGGCCAGGCCAGTGCGGGCACCAGAGTGTCCTCCCTCCCCCCAGGAGTGGGCATGTCACTGTGGGTCCTGGGGATCTCAGGGGCAGGGACAGCAAGGTGGGTTTGGGACCGTGGTCTGTGCTTGGTTGGGCCTCCCTGAACCTCGGCATTCATCTACCTCTATGGAAGGACCCCCAGCCCTTCCTGTTGGCCTGATGATGCTCCCCTGTGTCAAGTACTCACTACATCCTGCACCCCCACGAAGTACCCTGCATTCATCACTCATGACCTTCTGGGAAAGAAGTGGTCACCCCCATTTCCCGGGAGAGCAAGCAGAGAATTAGAGAGGTTCAGAGAATCACTCCTGTTCACGCAAAGGGCCAGAAGCAGATGTAACTCTGGGCCTGCGCTTTCAGTAAAGCCATGGGTTTGCCAGAAAGGGAATGGGCATTAGGTGATGTGTTTACTCCAGGGCATCTGAGGAAGCCTGGAGCCACTCATTTATCCACTTAATAAAATTATTGAGCACCTCCCGTGTTCCAGAATGTTCTATGGAATAGAGATGGTGGGGGTAAACAAGACAGAGCCCCTGTCCTCAAGGAGTTTTTATCCTGGGAGCTGTGGAGGACGGTGGGTTGTAGGAAGAAACAGATAATCAACAGGAACCAAGTAGATAAATAGCATATCTTTGTGCTAAAAGCTATGGAGATATGTGCAGGCGAATACCTAGTGGTTGCAGGGTATTTAGAACTGAGTAACAAGCAAAGACCTTCCTAGGAGGTGACATTAGAGCTGAGACCACAGGCGCCAGCTGTTGAGTTTGGTAGCACAGCAAGGGCCCTGTGGCAGATTTGAGCTGGGCAGTTTTGAGGACCTGGGAGCAGGCCAGTATGGAGTATGGCTGAAGCTGGGGGAAGAAGGGCAGGTGGGCCAGCCAGGGTAGGGAGTGCCCTTGCCTGGGAAGGAGTGGCATGATCTGGCTTGTGGGTTTTTAAAAACTTATTTATTTATATTTTAAATACTTTATTTATTTGACAGAGAGAGAGAGAGAGAGAGCCCAAGCAGGGGGAGCGGCAGAGGGAGAGAGAAGCAGACTCCCTGCTGAGCAGGGAGCCCAATGCAGGGCTTGATCCCAGGACCCTGGAATCATGACCTGAGCCAAAGGCAGACACTTAACCACTGAGGCACCCAGGTGCCCCTATTTTGCCTCATTTTAAACATCATAAGGGATTCAAGACAATTTAACTAAGAGCACATCTGTCTTAAATGGCTTAAAAAAAAAACCCTTTGAAAGCAACACACTGGTACTATAGCCAAAAAAGATGTAAATTTTCTCCAGTTTCCTAAACTGTCCAGTGAAATACGACATCCCTGGGGCAAGGATGTCTTTTGATGACTCCAGTGTTGGTCCCATGGGCTAGGTCCCCGGAATGGGCTTGGGAGTCTCACCCCTAGGAGGGCTGGGCCTTCTGAAAGGGGCTCAGGACTGACAGGTGCCTTCAGAGTCACATTTGCTTTGGAAAGTACATTTCAGAAAGAGGCGGGGGGAAAAAAGAAGATAATATGATGTCGTGTAAGGAACTCCGACCAGGAAGGGGAAAAGCTGGATTCTGAGTCCAGGCTTACATTGTGGGGTCCTGGCAAGTTCCTCCTGCCCTCAAGCCTGTTTCTATGGGAAGGCAGGAAGGTGGGGGCCACCTATAGGATTTATGAGTCTCTAAGCTGACCAGACCTCCGAGGCCTAGAGCCGTAGGAGGCACCACACAGAGGCCCGTCCTCCCTGGCATGACCCAGGCAGACGGTGCACCCCCACACAGAGCATCCCCGGTGGCCACCTTTGGTGATCCTGGCGGAATGTCTAAGCATCTCTTCCACAGACTGAATCAGAGCTCCGGGGACCCAGAACACCCGCCCTCTCTGGGGCTGATGCTGAGAGCAGGAGGGCAGGAGGCCGCAGTACCCACCTGGCTCACAAAGATGTTCCCCGCCACACTCAGGGTCTCAGTGGCCGTGGTGCCCATGGTGGTCTGCATCAGCCAGCTGATCTAGGAGGCAGAGTGGGATCAGCAGACCCTGAGTCGGAGAGGGTCGGAGTGGGTTGCAAGTGCTTGACAATCTTCCTTCCAACTTCCAGCCCAGCAGAGGAAACCCTCGCCTATGTGTTTCCTTCCACACCTCCATTTATGGGGGTTTACCACGTCCCAAGGCCACCCACTCCGCCTTAGGGTAGCTCTATTCATTATAGCAGCGCCTCTAAAATAGCACATCCTCTGTTTCCATACAGATGAATTCCAAAGGATTCCCTAGCCCAGTATACTTGAGAATTGCTGTACACACACCTCGGAGGTTACCAAATACTTATCAGCTTAGTAAAGGCTCTGAGAAGTCCTGCATACACACAAAATTGTTTAAATTTGTCTAGCCCAGCTTCCCAAAGCTATTTGACCACAGGATCCCTTTACCTAGTAACATGTGTTAACCCACTATGGAGCTGGAGTTTTGTGAAAAAGGCTTTGGGAAACATTGTATTAGAAAGTTCATCATTTCAATCAAGATGAAGTCGGCTTCCCTGGAATTTTTCCCCACTGCAGGAATGTCTCTAGCTGCCCTTTCACTAACCTTCCTTCTATACGAATTTGGAGACAGCTCTCCTACCCTAACCTCTTCTGCCCTAGCCTTCTTTTCCAGGCTCGCCAGCCCTCCTTCCTCCAACCATTCTGTGGAGAGCATGGTGTCTGGGCCTGTCATTGTTCCCCTGGTGCCTCAGTTGTCATAGCCCCTGGGCTAAACACATCCTCCAGATTTGGTGAGAGCTGCCTCCCTCCTGCCCTGCACTGTGCACTCTCACCATAACACAGGTGGTTTTTGCATTTCTGGCAGCCACCCGCTGCTTCTGGGTTATTCTGAGCTCAATCAGCTAAAACCTGACTCGCTCACTGCCAGGTCCAGTTGGCGTCCAGTGCTGCCTCCTGCATCTTGGATTTGTGCGGCAGTTTTATGAACATAAGCACAGGGTTTGACATTTATACCAGCTTAGTCTAGCCAACGTGGCCCACTGATCCAGTCTCTCAAGATCTTTCTGGTATAAGTGATTTTTTTCCCTGACATTCCTTCTCAAGGCAACCTCATTTCTGCAAACTTCCCTCACACAAACACCACATTGGATTTGGTGCCGTTTCTCCTGAGTTTCGTGACAAGAGACGCTGCGAAGGATGTTTGGCTAATGGTAGACTCTGAGTGGGAGGGTGTGGGCCTTTGTAGCAGGATTCTGGGAAGGTGCAGGCTCTAGGGGCCAGGGTGTTAGGGAAGGTTCGGGCTCTGGGTCCAAGGCCTCTGGGAGAGCATGAGCACCATGAGGAGGTAGGTCCTGGAGAGCCCAGGCCGTGGCTTTGGGGACTCACCTTCTGAATCACCCACTGCATGAGGCCCACATAGTACAGAACTGACATGACACAGCTGAAGAAGATGACAATGGGCAGAACCTGCCAGGGGGGAGAGCACAGGCGCTGGGGTTAGAGGCAGATCCCCGCATGGGACTCAGGGCCTAGGGGTCCTCAGGCAGCCCACTTTGTCCATGGCCTTGCCACTTGGAGATCTGACAGGGTCAAGGAAAAAGCTTCTCAGTTCTCAGGACCAATGAGCCAAGAACTAGACTCACAGGGGGCCTGTGGTCCTGTTACCCCGCTTCCAGTTACCAGGCTCGTCTCTGCCTCCTCCAGGCCTCATCTGTTCTTCCTTCATAACTTCCTTCATGTCCCTTCGCTCCCCACCAGTGGCCTGGCACCACCCCACTGCATCTCTGCTGCAGTCTGATTTATAATAGCAAGGATTGCCAACCCAGGGATGTCTGTCAGCAGAGGACTGGTTTCATAACCGCATGACCATGCAGCAGGGGACCAAGAGTCTGGAAACAAGAATGAGGAGGCTCTCCATGGGCAGTTAGGGAAGAATTTCCAAGACGGCATCTCATATGGGAAAGGGGAAGGTGTAAACAGGGTGTACGCTGTGCTGTTCTATGTGTAAGGAAGGCAGGGGGTGGTACTGTGCATGTGCTTGTGCTGCACGCAGTATCATTGAAATACATGCAAAGGAGGGAGTTGCCTTGGGGAGGGAATAGGTGTTGGTAGGGGAGGCAGACTTGCTTTTCACTACATCCTCTTTTGTACTGTTAGAATGCGTTATCTGTTCCAAACTTTTTTTTTAATTTTTATGTTTTTAAAGAATTTATTTATTTGAGAGAGAGAGAGAGAGAGAGCACAAGCAGGGGAGCAGCAGGCAGAGGGAGAGGAGGAAGCAGGCTCCCCGATAAGCAGGGAGCCCAATGCAGGACTGGATCCCAGGACCCTGGGATCAGGACCTGAGCCAAAGGCAGCTGCTTCACCGACTGAGCCACCAGGTGCCCCTCCAGTTTTAAAATAAGTTATGCAGAATCAATGATAGCAGGTGCATTCTTAAGCTAAAATGTTAAGTGGGGAAACTAGATATTAAAAGCATAGAAAGGCTGGAAGTCAGTACCTCCAAACAGTGAGTAGCTGCTGTGTGTGCTGGGACTATGGAAATTTGTTTTTTTTCTCTGTATTTCCAATTTCTCATCTGCTCCTGTCATTTTCTGTAATAGATGGACATCTCTCAAGGGAAGGAACATGGGTAGAGAGGAGGTTTGGGGAAGCTCATCAGTTGGGTTTTGAACTTGCTGGGTGTGAGATGCCTGGGGAACAGCCAGGGGGAGTTCTCAGTGGGCAGGCAGATAAAAGGGTCAGGAGCTCAGAGGAGAGGTCTGGGCCAGGCCTGGGTTGGGACTCTTGTGCACCAAAGCGTAGATTGGAGACCTTGGGACAGATGTACCTCTCTGAGGGAATCACCCTGAGTGAGCAGAGCAGTGAGGAAGGACAGGGCCCTGGGGTCATGTCACTGAAGGCTAATAGAGGAAGGCAGGGCATAGGGAGGGGACAGAGAAGATACAGAGAGGGGGGAGGACACCCAGGCCAGCAGTGTGATGGAAACTGAGGACAGGGATCCCTGGGTGGCGCAGCGGTTTGGCACGTGCCTTTGGCTCAGGGTGCGATCCTGGAGACCTGGGATCGAATCCCATATCAGGCTCCCGGTGCATGGAGCCTGCTTCTCCCTCTGCCTATGTCTCTGCCTCTCTCTCTCTCTCTGTGACTATCATAAATAAATAAATTTAAAAAAAATTAAAAAGAAACTGAGGACAGCTCTTCAAGTAGGAGGGCGAGTCAGCAGTGCCAGATGCATCAGAGCATTCCAGGAAATGCTGACAGCTAGGAAATCGGGGGTCCCTGGTGGAGACAACAGGAACAGGCAGCTCCCTGGAGAAGCTTAGCTCTGCCAGAAGGTAGGCCCTCAGAAGACGTAAGGGGTGATGGAAGAGCTGTTTTTGTGTTTAATAAGGGGAGTCTTGTGTGATCCCATTCAGGCTCCCCTTCAAAATGGATTGGGGCTGCAGGATGGCTCCAGACAACGACAGAGCCTCTGACCCAGGCAGCACCACCAGGGAGGAGAAGCAGGCCCTGCTGGGGTGTTTCCCGTCCCTGCCCAGCTGGACACTGCGGCTTCATCTGGACTGGCTCCGCTCCACGTCCCTGACCACCCCCGCAAGCCTCCCTGCGGGGGCGGGGGCTGCGCGGGGAGAAGCCCTCCTCCTGCCCCGTGACTGCGCTGGCTGCCTGGCGCCGGCACGCCCCCAACACGAGGTGCTGACGTCATCCGCCCTCCCTCGCAGCGAGACCCAGCGACAATCACGTACTGTCTAGACGGCTTGTCCAATTTATCACGAGAGTCACTGCCCGGCGGCGGCCTGGCAGGGCTGCAGACATGGCCCAGACCCGGGAGCAGAGAGCCCCGGCCGGCGGGACCTGGCTGCAGATCTGGGACTTTCTCCTGGCAGCAGGAGAGTTTCTCCCTGTGAGATGCAGGTTTTTGGTGCAAGGGAACCTGTGTTTTGCTTTAAAGGGTGACTGTCTTGGGAGGGAAGATAGATGGAAGACAAGTGACCTCCAATTTTCTAATGTGGGACATTTCATGCTAATAAGGTCCCTGAGGCCCACATGATCTCCCAGCCTGAGAAACAACCCCCAGGCTTATAGTGAGCGATGGCAAAAGACAGGAGAGGCAGCTGAAGACAGTGTTGCTGTAGTCGGGGAAAAGGATGCACCATTAAGTCCTACTATGTGTCTATATGCAGCCCTGCGTGCGATGTGCCAGTTGCAGTGCCCAGTGTGTGGCAACTCATCGATCCTCAAATCAACTGAGGTAGATGTAAATCCCCTTCACCAGTGGGAATGCTGAGAGTGTGAGGTGTTGCTTACCTGCTCAAGGTCACACACCTGCCAAAAGACAGAGCGCTTCCTAGTTGCTGTGCAGGTTGCCAAGACCCTGCCATGACCCTAAAGAGGTTTGCCCTGTTGCCAGTCCTGGACAGGCATTTCTCTGTCTGAGGAGAAGCATACATCTCCTACAGGAGTGAGCTTCCAGCTGGGAGCAGCCCTAAGTAAGTCCTGACCATTGCACTTCAGAACTTTAGAGCTGGCTGGTCCTAGTACCAATACTCATCAATAACTGTTGGAAGAGGGAATTTCTAGCTTGTCTAGGCCAATGGTTCTCAAAGTATAGTGCCTGGACCAGTAATACCACCTAAGAATTTGCTAGAAATGCAAATGTTGAGCCCCACACCCAGAGTTTCAGATTCAGGAGGTCTGGGGCAGGCCTGAGAATTTGGGCCTTAGAATTGCCAGATGCTGCTGGTGCTGCTGGTCTGGATGCTACACTCTTAGAACCACTGCTCTAGAGTTTAGACCATATACTCTGAGCGAATGTCAACTTTTTACCAGGAAACAGGCTCTAAAAGGCAGGACCAAACCCACTGAGGATGTGGCCCTGATGCTTCCTCTTCATGGAGGAAGCTGAGCCAGCTTTTAATGACTTCCTGATGAAGAACTCCCACACGCCAAGCCCCAAAGGCCTAAACACTCCAGAAAGGGCCCTGTCACCAGCCCCACAAAACCCCATAAAAATTCCAAACCACAAACTCCAAAGTTGGTCAACAGAACACTAAAAGGATCATACACCATCATCATTGGGGATTTATTCTAGGGAAGCAGGGATGGTTCAACATCCATGAGTCAATCAACTTGATATAGACATTAACAAAACAAGTGATAAAAATACATGGCAATCTCAAAGATGGACAGAAAGCATTTGACAAAATTCAACATCCATTCATGATAAGAACTCTCAGCAAAGTGGATGTAGAAGAGATGCACCTCAATATAATAAAGGCCACATATGACAAACCCATAGCTAACATCATACTCATTAATGAAAGGATGAGAACTTTTCCTCTGAGATGAGGAACAAGACAAGGATATCTACTCTCACAACTCCTATTCAATATACTATTGGAAGTCCTAGTCAGAACAATTAGTCAAGAAAAAAAAAAGGTATCCAAATTAGAAAGGAAGAAGTAAAATTGTCATTCTTTGCAGATAACATGATACTGTATATTTAAAAAAATCTAAATCTAAAGACTCTGCCGAACAACCACTAGAACTAATAAATGAATCAGTAAAGTTGCAGGATACAAAATTAACATACATAAATCAGCTGTGTTTCTATACACTAATGAGTTATCAGAAAGAGAAATTAAGGGAAAACAGCCCATTTACAATTGCATCAAAAGACTAAAATACCTAGGAATAAATTTAATCAAGGAGGTGAAAGACCTGTACTCTGAAAATTATAAACACTAGTGAGATGGGGCAGTTGGGTGACTCAGTTGGTGAAGTGTCTGCCTTCGGCTCAGGTCATGATCCCAGGGTCCTGGGATTGAGCCGTGTTGGGTTCCCTACTCAGTGGGGAATCTGCTTCTTCCTCTCCCTTAATCCCTCTCCCCAATTTGTGCTTGATCACTCTGCCTCTCTCAAATAAACTTTTTTTAAAAAGGCATTGGTGAAAGAAATTAAAGGTGACACAAATAAAAGATATCCCATGTGCATGGATTGGAAGAATTAATATTATTAAAATGTCCATACTACCCAAAGCATCAGAATATCAGTGGAATTTTTCATGGAACCAAAACAAATAATCCTAAAATTTATGTAGAACCACAGAAGACCCTGAATAGTCAAAGCAGTCTTGAGAAAGAAGAACAAAGCTGGATGTACCATGCTTCCTGATTTCAAGCTATACCACAAACCTCTAGTTATTACAACAGTCTGGTATTGCTACTAAAACAGACACATAGATCAAAGGAATAGAATAGAGAGCCAGAAATAAGCCCATGTTTGTATGATCAGTTAATTTACAACAAGGAGGCAAAAATATCCAATGGGAAAAAGACAATCTCTTCAGTAAATGGTGCTGAAAAAACTGGAGAGTTACATGCAGAAGAATGAAACTGGACCACTTTCTTACACCATACACAAAAATATATTCCAATGGATTAAAGACTTGAATGTAAAACCTG